ATTTTTGACTGCTTCAATAGTTTCTTCAATATATTTATCTTCTGTTGGTTTTTTCGTTGCAGTAGTCGCTGCAGTTGTGTATTCATCTATATTGCCTAGTAATTCTAATAAGTCTTCACTGTCGTCCGCATCATGTTCGCCATCAATATCTTGATTTGCAGGCAAAAGAATAGGATCGATTGCATCATTATCAGTTTGATCTTCAGCAATAACTTGAAGTAAATGTTCATCGCGATCTTTTTTACATTCATGTAAAAGTTGAATATTTTCTATAATCTTCCATGAACGAATGGAAATACGATTTTGCCGAGATTTAAGAGCATCTTCCCATGTTTGATTGATGTCACAAAGATCTGTAATGGTGCGCCAAGGTACGAAAAGTGTAAGAAGAGCTCGACTATATCGTTCTCGGGTATCGTCACGGTCTCTTCGAGGAATTTGTGGACCATAAAGAATAGGTACATGATACTCGCTGTATTTCATCAATAGATGCGTTGTTGCTTGTGGGTGTTGCTTTTGGAAAGGATAACGCACATTAGCTGGTCGTCCTTTTTGGTTACCTGCTTCTTCTACTGGTGCTGGAATCTTCGATAAATATTTTACATCTGCTTCATTCATTTTTTCTTATATAATATGCTGACAAAGTCGTATAAACACATATCATTGAGAATATCGGAGCGATGTTGATAATCAATTCTTGTGTTAACGAGTACGTATTTTTTATCATTTTCAGTCGATTGAATTTGAAAATGTTCTTCGTCATTGTTTTCATCATCAATAACTTCATCATCATGTACATCATCGTCGGTTACATCTAAATAAAAAAAAAGACAATATATCTTAGTTATTATTTAATTATGATATTTCAGCTCAAGCGATCTTTACTATTTCTCTCATTCACATGTGCACCAGAAATAACAGTTAGAACATTTTTGTATTGTAAAATTCAAGATTTGGGTAACATAAAATAAAACACTTTGGCAATACATAAAGATGGAAGAGAGAAGAGAAAAAATTATCGTACTGGTTCTCTATATGACCTCTACAGGAAAAAAAGATATATATATATGATAAATACCACTATTACAAGTCTAACGATGCCAAAGTATATTTTTAATGAATAAAGTAATCATTAACTTAATTTTTTAGAGATAAGTCCCTCTCACTACTCTCTTCCTCTTTTCATCGTGTTTTATCACCAATCTTCTTATCATAATTACTAAACCCCCCTCCATATTAGAAGCCCCCAGGGGCTTCTAATATGTCTACCATATGAAGCTTCTAGAGGGGGGCTTCTATTCAGTCTCAAAAAAATTTCGTTAACTGCCAGAAAAAAGGGTTCGTAAGGGTTTTTAGAGATTTTCAAGGTTTTTATGAGTTTTCCAGAAGATTTTTGGCATTATTTCCACATGTTAGCAAAGCTAGATAAGGGTCAGCCAAATTTTCACCTGAAAATCGAAAAATTTTAGCAGTTTTAGCGTGAAAATGCGAAAAAAAAATCTTGAAAATTTTCAAATTTTTTCGAAAAATTAGGGGGGGTTCTAATACGTCAAACACGTTGTTCATCTCAAGGGGGGCTTCTAATAAGGAGGGGGCTTCTAATATGGGAGGGGCTTCTATTATGGGGAGGGGTATACTATTGCATTCAATGAAAAAAACAATACTAACCTTGCATTGAGCCTTTCGATTTTTGTTTCGAGCGTATTTCATTCAATTGCGTTTGTAAATACCGCTCAGTTTGAATTAGATAAAGACCTTGAAACTTGTGTGTTGTATAATGATCATCATAATTTATGAGATAAGAAGCAACTTGAACTCCAGATAGCTCTTGTTGAGAAGCAAGTGCATTGTAACATCGTAAAACGAGCGTCCGTGATTTTTCAATTGCATTTTCCTTGTCTGTCTGATGTGATAAATTCATAATTGATTTAACACTGTTTTGTACAAGAGCCAACGTATCATGAAAAGAGAGACTCATCTTTGTCACATAATCAGTAATATAATAAACAAGAGCCTTTGCATCACTACCACTCCAAATAAATTTATATCCATGTTGGATCGACAGGCTGCGATGATGTATTCATTAAAATTGTTAATCCATGGATCGGATCGTCGCATGGAAATATGACCGGTATCCGGATCAATCGTCGAAACTGGTACTAATTTGCGTGGCATACGCAATCGACAAATTTTCTTGTCACCTTGTTTAGGATTAGAATACTTGTAACACGTGCCCGTATGCTTGTGCTTGTTATCTGTTTCCACAAGTTATACTACAACTGCACGAAAGCGTGCTGCAAAATTAGGAAATGATGGATTTGGAGTAGGTAAGCAAGCTGGATTTATGTTTGATTG